GAGAGAGAGAGAGAGAGAGAGAGAGAGAGAGAGAGAGAGAGAGAGGAGAGTGAGGCGGGCGTCTCGGTCGAGTATTCCAGGTTAATTTTACCGAGCCCTAAGGAGCGCATGCGAAGGACCGGCGAAGGATAACGCTAGCGGGGCTCATCGGTTGGACGCTGCTCGAAGCGAACGAAGGACGCCCGCATTCCACGCCGCAACCTGGTATAATACGAGGAATTGGCCGAACAGAACAAGAGAGGGACAGAGAGGCAAAGAACGGGCTTTTTCTGCATCGGAGAAAGAAGACGAACGGATCACAAGCGAGACAAAGAGGAAGAGGAAGACGAAGAAAGATGAAAGAGGGAGACGTACATAGAAAAAGAGAAGGAATCACAGTGAAGCAACCAAGGAGAGGCAAGGAGTTGTGTCTGCATCATTCTTCTCTTTCTCTCTCTCTCCCTCTTTTCTCTTTCATCTGCTTTCCCCTCGTAATCATACTCCACCATTCCATTCCTTTATCTCCTTATTCGTTTCATTCTAGTTTCTCTATACGATACTTCTACATACTCTCCTTCGTGTTCGTTAGTTTCTTCTTTATCTCTTACTCTTTATTACTCGTCTTTTTACCCATCTCTATCTCTTCCTCTCTCCACTTTCATCTTTTTCTTCGTCTCATCCTCGTCTTCTTGTTCTTTGTCCTCGTTCTTCTTTCTTCGCCCATGTGTATACGTGCATGTGTGTGTGTGTGTATGTGTATGGACTCGGTTGAACCGCGTGCCTCCAGCGGAAGTAAACCACCGTGCACACGCTGGTATCTTCACAAGAGCATTCTATACAGTTTCAGGCGGCGTTCTTCGTTCGTATGAGAGCGCGTAACTGGGATTCCTCGTTTTGCGAGCAGGCAGCTGCAACTGGGTAGCCGCACTGGAGTAGGTTATCGCCGTCGTGAGTCGTGGCTTTCACCACTTTGCCGGCCACGTCGCGTTCTCGCGCGCCGACAGTCACGATGACAAGAGAAACGGAAGGTTATACGGGCCCTCCACCGTTTCTTTCTCCCTGATTGCCCGTGATTTCGGATTAGATAAGCGGTGTGGAATTTCGATGCCTGCCTGGGGCTTTAACACGACTCGCTTGCCTCGACCCGTGGAATTGTTATACCAATATATTTTAAACTCGCGTAAAAGCTTTCGTAAAATTTACATAAAAGTGTTTTCAACAAAATATTGTTTTCCATATATGAATAATTATTTACTATATGGATAATTATTCCGTGGATCTATCTGACGCTTGAATTAAAATTTTTCTGCGGAAAAATATAGATTGTTGAAAAAAGATGATCGAATGATGATGAAATGATGAAATGAAATGAAAGAATTTAATGATGTAACGAGCAAAACAGATATTTCGTGATTAAAAATTTATAAATAAATTGGCCTCGATTCCTTTTTTATACTTTTTATACTTTGTTTGACATAGAAATAAAAGATTAATACATCCCAATTTTAATATTTTTATAAAAATAGCTCAAGCAGTAATATAATTTCATTTATTCCGAATTTGTCGCAAAATTGATTTCATTTTATTTGAAAAACATATATGATGAACGTAATATAACGTAATATAATATAATAAAATGGTAAATATTAGAAATTTCTCAAACGCTTTCCTCATAAGATTAGAATTGAGTGCAGGTTGTCGCACGATATCTTTAATGACGAGCGGTATAAAATTTCGTTTAATACGAAATTAATAACGAAGTTCGTAAGGGATAGATGAGGCAGCGGGATGGAGAAAGCTGAGGACAGTCGAATAGACGTGGAATGGAAGGTAGAGGCGTGTACGTCGTATTATTCGTAGCTGTCCAGTTAGGCAGAGGAGTCCCCTGATGGGATTATAATGTGAATATAATGGCGAGCTTCCGCGCTACGCAACCCTTTCATCTCCCACTCCTGCGGTATACCTTAACCTTCCTTCGAAAACCCTTCTTCGCTGCCTGAAAGTTTAATCGACTATTTCGACGATTTTCTGGAGCTTAAGTCGCCGCTGCGAAACGTTGAGGAGGGAAGAGGGACAGGAAAAGAAAAAAAAAAGAGAAGAAGAGAATGAAAGTGTGATGAGTTCTAGATAGTCAAACTGGTCAAACCTGCTTCCGTTGTTCAAAGTTGATACTAATGTTACAATTATGATTACAAAAATCTCTCGATATAGAAATCGAGGTTTAAAAAAGTACATTTTTAAAATATCCATATTTTTTTTTTATTTTTAGACAGTCACGTGCTCAATTTTAGTATCAATTCATTTATTTATTTTTTTTATTTAATCATTAAAATATACTTCAAATTATTGCTATTCATTTTTAAATTATTAATTTAACAGTTTTAAATAACGAAGCATTGGTCGATCGATAATAATCAGTTCAATCAGTGTTTAAAGATACTTGAAGAAATTTTCCATATATAACTAAATCAGATTCAAAGAAAAGCGTAGTAAGTAGATCGCGTAAGCAAAGAATGCTTGACGAGAATGAAAACTCGTCGATTACGCAATTTCTCTCGTGTTCGAGGCGACGATCACCTGCGGCGACTCTCGATACTTCCTTCTTTTTTCCATCGATCGACCCTATGACGTAATTCGAAACACACGTTTATTGGTATTTATAATATCCCGGCCGAGCGCCGGGGAATTTTAAATCGCAAATTACAAACCAAATTAAGAAATACGTCTTGGATCGCGTTTTACGCCCTGGCAAAGGAAACGGGACGGCCACGATAAATTATTCTCCACAAACTTGACACATTCACAGTCTCGCGTGTTTTATGCTTAATTACATTTCGAACGCAAGTTCGCGTGCAATCGTGATGCTCCCAATCGCATCGCTATATTTACTCTCACCGTGTACAGTAATTAAATTATTTGCCTATTTATACCTCAGCCTTGAAATATTGGGCTTCATTTAAAAATTAATATAAATCTGAAGGTGCACGTGACATAGTTTTTATTTGGAAGAAAGTTGAAAATTCCTCCGTCCTTACGTTTATTTTTTGGAAATAGTTTGTCTAATAGGTTTAAGGGTGAGTTTACAATTTTCTAATGTAATTACTTGCTTGATTAAAAACTTAGAATAAATTTTCGTCATTTTTTTAAATACAAATCTTATTATAGTTTCAGACGTTCGATTTCCTTTCTCAAAATATTCACAATCAACAATATTTATCCATATTTAATTCATGTTTCTGATACAAACACAATTTCTAAATTTACATCTTAGAATAATCGCAATAATTATAAAATAAATCGAAGAACGAAATTCATCTTGTTCTCGTCGATTCGAATTCTTCGCCGCGTTATTAATTATCCACCGTTCGATAAAACTTATCTTTCCTGTTTCCCCCTCCACGTCGTCGCGAAGAAAAGCGCGCAGGATGAACTTATCAAGCAACGCGTCCACCCTCCACGCTGTTTTCTTCCTACGTTTCACCCGGTCGATTTACTTTTTCCGCGTGACCCTCCTCGATTTATAATCTCCCTCGTCGCACTTTTTGCGCTTCACCCCGTTCGCGATTCAAGAATCAACGCGTACACGCCTTAGACGCATTTCTCCGATCGAATAAGTTACGACGTCATCCAATGTTCGAAGCGTCCGCTTCACAATGGCACGATAAATCAGCGTCAAACGGACGCTTCATTTTGTCCGTCAATTTGTTGGATACCGAACTTTAAGCCGCGGATATCGCGCGAGCTGTGCTGGTTCCCACATTTCTAAGAATCCGTGGAGATTACTCTCGATGTTTCTCGATGGTGTAAGAAAACAAGGAAATGATTCGATCGGTGATTATCTTTGACAGAAGAAACTATGCAATCTTCATTCTTTATTTCAATATATTTCTTCGTTGCTTTTATATTTTATTTTGATTCTATCTTTATATATATATAAAATCCTTTAACAAAAAAAAAAAGATGGCTCCTTTGATGCGAGTTAAATCGAATAAACGATCCTTCGTTCAAGAGAAGAAAAAAAAAATATATATATTTTTGCTAGCTAAATGCGAATATGTTGCAAATATTTAGTCAAGCATTATAAGTAATTTAATACAAAGCCACCGAATTAA